TAACTTTTAATTCATCAAGCATAAAATCATAAAATGAATTCACTTTTAAGAAGAGGAAATTGAATGTAACGAAAGAAAGAATTCATTAAATTCTTAAAGAAAACCTGATTAATCAGTAAACTTAGTGCTTAAACAAAATTAAGTAAATAAAAGTCGCATTTATTACTGATGACTAACATAGTGTCACGCAAATTTACTCAATTTTTCAAATTTGCATGGTACATTTATTGCTAGATTCTGTGCACACATCTTATTAAAATCACGTTTGTTCTGAAAACATTTGATTTTATAAAGCATAAATACCATTATGATTCTGCTCTTGCAAATTTGATTTTAAAAAGTGTCTGATTTTTATAATACTATGATCAGAAAAACTTACTGTTTTAATTGATTTTAGCAAACAAATCTTCTATAACTTTCATAATTAGAATATTAAAGTTACTAATATGGATCAACAGAATAATTTCTGCTAAGAAAATATTCGTTATCACTGTATATTTTCTTTCCATGTAAAGACAAAAAATAAAAAAGAAACCCTACATCAATAAAAAGATATATTTTTATTCAATTATAATGGCAATTATAGAATATAAGTATTGCCTCCTCAATTTTATTATGAAAGTAAAGTGTGTTCCATATCATTCAAAAATAAAAGAGTATATTAAATGAACGATTTTTTTTAACGGGAAAGAACGATTTTTGTCCATTTTTCCCAAAAAGGGCAATTGGATTGCCATCTGTTGCATTTTAATAACTTTGACAAATCTCTAAGATTATTGCAGAGTGAAGATGGGCCGTACTGTGGGAAAGCCCTTTTTTTCCGCTCGCAATATCGTTTTTTCTCCGAATCACAGCTTTTATGGGCATAAACCGTTTTTCTCCCGTAGTCTTCTGGTTATTACCCGTAATATTGAGGTTATCTATAAATGATAAAAAAGAAGAAAACTTTCTTTTTAAATGGATTTTTTACAAGGTTGTTTTTAACCAAAACATTTAGCCAAATAAAGCAATATCATAACGGCGGTATCTTTTTCAACTTGATATTCATGGATTGACGTTGGGATGAATTTTATTTCTTAAATTTGCAATTAAATTATTTGCCTAAGATGGGAAAACTTAAGTTACAACTGGTACTGATTAAGAGGATGAAGAGATTAAAAATAAAACTTGCTTTAAGTAAAATGATAGAGTAAGTCTGAAATTAATATAAATATGATAGAAAATTATTGATTTGCAAAATAAAAAAAGAACTTTTTAAGCGAGATAATGTAGTGAAGATAAATTAAGTGCGTGGAAAATATTATTGCAACAGGAGGTACTATATTATTTAAATTTCCAGACAAAATCTTGTTTGGAAAAGTTAACAAAACACTGACAGAATTATATAGAATACCAAATTATTAAGAAATATTGCATAGATTCTCTTTCCCGCGATACATTTCGCCATTGCAAATTATTCTCCGGCTGAGGTTTTGCCCGATAATATTTTGCCCCAGTTAAAAAGAAAAAAAGATAATCTTTATTTTATTTTTTACTTGCAATTCTAGAGTTTTTCAAGAGGAAAGAAACTGATACATGATAAAAAATAAAAATAACTGCTCATAGATTTCAGCAAAATAGAAAAATCTTTTTCTTTTTTTTTTTTACTTTCAGTTGCTCTACCAAAAAGAAAGAAACTGATCTCACTTAAGTAACTGAGCTTAAATGGATTTTATTTAATAAAATCAATTTAAATTCTCTGAGTAATAAAGACAATCATTTGCCTTAGCCAGCAAGCTATAGTAGCCAAATATTTTTAAAAAATTAAAAAATGACCGACTTTTTTATTTTATATAATACACTGCTGGACAATTGCTAAGGACGGATTACAAATTGCAATGTAGCATAACATTAAGCGAGACATGAAGCCTAGTAGGATAAAATATAGTTGCNTTTTTTTTTTTTTTTTTACTTTCAGTTGCTCTACCAAAAAGAAAGAAACTGATCTCACTTAAGAAACTGAGCTTAAATAGATTTTATTTAATAAAAGCAATTTAAATTCTCTGAGTAATAAAGACAGTCATTTGCCTTAGCCAGCAAGTTATAGTAGCCAAATATTTTTAAAAAAATTAAAAAATGACCGACTTTTTCATTTTATATAATTTTTCATTAAAGGTCACAATTTGAAAGAAAAGGGATTGTTTACGAAATCACTTTGTAAATTCAATTACATCAAGGAGTTTTTTTCTCCATACAAGTTTTAAATTATTTTAATAGATTTCAAAATGATGTTGAACAATTTTAATATACTTTATTATTTTTAAAATTATTTGAAGAAATTTCTTACCGTTCAAATAAACTGGTTTATTTGGTTTATATGTTTATTTTCTTCGTGTTTTTTTGTTTTGTTTATTCTTTCGTACAACGCTGTAATAGAATGTTTTTCTGTTGCGTATGCTTTTTAACTAAATAACCAACCGGTTATCATTTAAACAAAACTGTTATACTGTTAGAATAACAACAGCAAATTTTATTTGTAGTTCAGAGTTATTCCAACCTCATTCTTTTTTAAAGATCGTAAAAATCACAAACATATTTCCTTTTTGTAAGAAAATAAATGAATTTAGATTGAAAAGACTATGTAGCAGAAGTAAACTTGTTAGAACTTAGAACTTTGTGTATAAAAATGCAAAAGTATTTAACTCCGTATATTTTAATTTAATGAATACTGAAACTGTAAATATTTTTTCATATTTTTTTTTTTCTCTAGAGTTTTGCTTTATATTAAATTACATAAAGAAATGTTTTACTAAAATTTCCTTAAATTTCATTTTAAGAACTTGTTTTATTATTATTAATAGATCAAAAAAGTTTTAATAAATTTAAAAAAGAGTATAGAATTTATGTATTTAAATTTTAAATTTGTGAACTTTGAATCTTATAGGTTGTTAAAAATTAATTATCTTTAAATTATACCAATCAAGATGCATTACAAATCAGGCCAAAATTTACGAAAAAATATGCTCTAAATATTTTATTCACAATTTCTTTGATAAAACTGAATATCCAAAATTATATGCTAAAATGATCAAATAGAATTGAAACAATCAAATTAAAATGATCTAACATGATATTACACCAAAAAAGCAGCTCGTTCAAATATTTGAAAGTTATAAAGCTATAATATAATTATTGATAGTGTTGTGAAAACCAGGACTATGGAGTCGGATTTGATTAAAGTTTCGCAGGAGTCGAACATTTGCTTGAATCTGACTTGGTAGTTAAAATTTATGAGGCTACAAAAAAGAAGTTTTTGATGTTATAAAAAATATTTAAGCCAATATTTATGATTAAGTGAGCAAAAATATTACTCAAAAGTATATTTTATTGACAGTTGCTTAAATTAAAGCTATTAAGTTTGTTTTAAAAGTTATTTTTTATAAATTATAATTGAATAAAACTTCTTTATCTCATTAGGGGAAATAATTAAAGAGAAATTTAAAGAGAAATTAAAGGAAATAATTAAGAAGAAAATAATGCTGGTCAAAATAATATCTAAATCAACTAAAACTCAGAGAGTAAAAGTGATGCTATATATTAAGTGAAAAGTACCATTTATGAGGCTACATTGATTTTAAAATTTTATAAAGTCTTGTTTTTTTTTTTTTCTTTGGTCCTGTTTTTTTAAATTTTGAAGTTTAACTCTATTAAGAGAGCTTTCGAAAACTTTTGATACTCTACTCGATCGACCAGAAACGAAAACAGAAAAACAGCTTTTACGTAATCAGTAGGCATGATTTGTTTTAAAAAAATAATTTTATTGAAATTTTGTTTGAAATAGAATTTTGCTTTTATGTAGAATTGTATGGTGTTAGAATTGCAGATAGAATTTTATGATTTTAAATGTTAGCTAAATTTTTATTAGTGATAAAATGCTTTACTTCTAACTTTACTTTAGTTTCAACTCTGCAAAAAATTTCTGTAAAAAGACATACAAAGAAAAACAAGAATCTCTCTTAAATTACGGAGACTAAGTATCTCGGTAACAGAATTATGAAAAATGCGGGGGTTTTTTCCTATTTTCTCTAAAGATACTTTCTTTCAAATATTTCAATATATTTTTAATTATTTCAAAAGTAAGTGACAGCCCGTAACTCAAGGTAGTTATACTTAATTTACTTCTGTCTGATTACTGAGTCTGCTATGGATATTTTCTTGTATTTTTACATAAGTCTTCCGGTTTGAATTTTTATGTCCATGAGAGTCTTAATAAATAATAACAAGTAGATTCTTGAGTATTTATACTCAAAACTTTTAACAGTGAACATAATACAAAACAAAAATCCACATCACATTGAATACAAAAGAATTTAGTATAATTTTCTATAGAAAAATAGTTGTTTGTTAAAATAATATTTAAATGCACAATAATAAGTGTGTGGTTACTGTGCTGCCATATATAAACAAAACAAATTAATCACAGAAAAGTAGTTAAAGGAAAACAACTATTTCGACTATTTAAAGAAGCTTCATTGTCCGAAGTTAAGATTGAACTTCAATCTGGAACTTAATTCTTTATGTTAGCTCCATTGATAATGCTTAACAAGAACATCAAAACAGCCCTATACTCTTAAAAATTATGATTTAATTTTTAATCAGATATATAATATATTTTTAATCATATACTATAAGTTGCAGCAAAAATTTAATTTTCGGTTTCAGTTTCGGTATCCTGTATTGTTTTAATAGTTTTATGCTTTATGTAACAGCTGTATTGTTTTTGGTAGTTTTATGCTTTCTACGAGTTGTGCTCCAAGTTTGTTGCATTGTTTTCCTAGTCTTATTAAGATAACATTATTTAACTGCTCTTAAGTTAGAGAAAAAAATTTATTAGATTTGTTATATTTATTAAAGTTCATCTAAAAATATTGGTTAATTATTTGACTAAAATTAGCAATTTATATATTTTTAAAACTTTTCCCAGTTTACTTTTTTCTATATATTTTGAATTTTTCTTTCAGGAAACTTCTTATAATTAAACAAAAAGCAAAAGGGATGCAAGAAGTGATTCTTTTTGATTGAAGGGTAAGAAACGGTATTTAAAATTATTCATTTTTTACTATTTTATTTATTTTTGATAAAATAAACTGTGTAGTGGTTTATTTGCACAGAAATACACATATTTAGAACTTAGCTCAATTATGGCTTATTAGCTCAAAAAATGCATGTATCACATACGGTGGATCAGGCACCCGGCTAGCGCCGACCACAGTGCTGACGTAAAATATCCTCAGTGGTAGATGGATCACGAGTTAAAGTCCCCTTATCAGGTTAAAACCGGGAGGTTTAACTAATTTTCTTCTCCGTTTAACGCAAATGCAGGTTAGTGCCATCAAAAAAGTCCATTCTACTTCTGAACAATTTCTCCCAATACTTGATTCCAGAAGTTCCCTTGTCTTCTGGATCGTGTTCAAAATTATATGGCTACGGAGTTGAACATTGGTAGTCGTAAACTCAAAATCGGGTTGGATGTTCACTACGGTGAGGAAAGAAAAATTCAAAACTTTCCAAAATTGCAGGGTTATATGGGCTCGATACGCTTCAAAATTTCAAAATGTTATGGGTTCAAAACGTTTCGAGCAGTGCAGATTCTTAACAAAATTCAATATGCTCCAAAATTTTAAAATTATATAGGTTCAATACACTCTAAAATTTCTGGGTTTCTAGATTCATTCAAAATGCTCCAAAATTTCTAGCTGTCTAAATTCTTTACAATATTCAATACGTTCCAAAATTTTAAAATTATTTCTATACAATGCGTTTCAAAACTTTGATAGGAATAGATTCCTTACAATGCTTGAAATGCTTTATAAGTGCTACAATAAAAAAATTAAAAAATAAAGAAATTCGTATTAAAAAAAATAGTTAAATAAACCGGAATTGTGGTTTGGAAAATTTTATTAGCCAACCAGCAGCAATATTTTGACCTTTTAAAATTGAGCAGAGCTATATAATTTTACAAAAAAACTACCAACAATTAAAAAATAATAAAAAACTAAACATTATTCATAACCTTTTATTTCTAATCTTTTCAAAGTTTTCACCGAAATTGAATTCAAGATCTTCAATTTCGAACTAAATTGTGACAAACTAAATCCTGTTCATTTTAAAAAATACTCGGTCGTGATTCCATTAAACGTAATAATAGCAATTCGAATTTTACAGTCAACCGTGTTGAAAACTAGAAGCTCACTTGAAAAAAGCTTTACTTTCTTTAGATTTCGAAATCCAAGAGGGTAATAACGGGGAAAAATCATAGATTTTTCACGGAATTAAGGCCGATTTGGCGAACAAGCACTATTATTAAAGTCCCAATTTTAGAAAAGAGTAATGAACTAAAATGTAACTGTATTTACGGAGTCTACGAAATCAGTGATGAGTTTTGACCTTTAGAACTTTGACCGTCCACATCTGAAAAAGAATTATAAATAACAACAGAGTGATGTACAGCAAAGCACGATTCGTTATTTGTTAGAATACCGGGGGTTTGCGTGCGGATATCGTTTTTTCATTCATCTTTAGCCATTTTTTATGCTTTCTCTCATCAATATAGCTTACCGTTAAAGAAGAAGCCAGAAAATGAAAGTAATGATTTTAAGAAACAAAAGACTGTATCGTGACCTTACAATGAGCACTTATGTCTATCTAATAGAATATAGAATTAAGCACAAGTCGACATTTACTAAACTGTAACTGTGATGCTGGAGAGTAAACTTACGACTCATGTTCTCACTCGCCAAAGTTCATGCCCGAAATATTAGTATTTACCTTTTGTGTGCGTGAGAACACGTTTCACATTTGGCGAAGAATGCTTGGTTCATATGACATATGGTGACAAATACTTCTAAGAAGTACTTTCATTCAATGCAAAGTAAAATTTACGATTCTCTATTATTGATTCAGAAATTTCTTCTTTATTTCGGAAACTTTAAAAAGTTGCATTCTATAATTCCATCATCGCTTACAAAACATTTCACTCCTTATAATTTAAATTTAGAATTACTTTTTTTATATCATATGGACTTAGTTTTTAACAAGTACATTTTCTGTGACACTGGATTCTATGACACTGGACGTTTGGAAAAATTGCTTTGATGCAGAACTATAATATTGTCATCTTAGAACCAAATTTGCCACAAATAATGTATTAAACTATCGCATTTTTTCGTTCAAGTTTAATTATATGATTGAGTAATCAGTTTCAAAAAGGTTTAATTTGGATGCCTGTATAGTCAAGCTTAACACCAAATTAAATTTTCTGAGAATGTGAATGATATTAAGGCTTTAAAACTTTCCAAAAAATCTCCCAAAACAAATGCTGACCTAGCAAATGTTCAAATGTAACAATAAACGTTTCAAATATAAGTTTTCTGAGAATTTGAATGACATTAGGGCTTTAAACTTTCCAAAATTTCTGCCTAAGCAAATGTTCACATTGCAAATGTTTCAAATATGACGAATCTATATCTTTTGTATGTTTATTTAAACTCTATTAATAACAACAACTATTAATAAAAATTATCATTGGTTGTTCCAAAAATGTAAATTCGATTTACTTTCATATGAAACCTATACAAATATTGAAGAAAAGAATTAGATGGTTGAAAAAAGACTGTCATTTTATTGGTTATCGATAATGAAAAATTTTGCTTTTAAACTCATATTAAATTACTTTCTTTTCATAGATGTGGTATTCATTTGTAAATATTCCTTTTTAATTGTTTATTTCTTCAGTTACTATTGGTTATAAATTAGAAAATTTTCAAAAAGAATATTTCACAGTTCAGGTAGAAATTTTGCACATACGAAGAGTTTTCAAGATTGTCTCTTAGATATAATTTTCCGCACCGAAGTCAAAAAGTATGGTCAAAAGTTAAAACTACCAGAATAAGGTAAAATTTATCGTGTTTTTGGCTGTATGGGAACACCAAAAAGCTCGATAATTTATACCAAAGCGTTTCAGTAATGATTTTGGTAAAATTAAAAATAAAATATGATTTTTTGATATGAGATAAAATATGGTAATTTAATGAAGATGCCTTAGAGCATGGCATGAAAACTATTTATTCGATTTAATTTACTCTTCAGTTTCGTATTTTTTTCCAATGAGGTGAACCGGGTTCAAAAACCACAGTGCTGAAATGAAATATCCTCAGTGGATCATGGGTTAGAGTCCCTTTGCCATCAGGCTTTGCCACAAGGGAGGTTCTCGTGTTCTTCCTCTACATGTAACGTAAATGCTGGTTAGTTCCATCAAAAGTCCTCCACGAAGGCAAATGTCTCCCAATACTTGATCCAGGAGTTACATATCATTAAATAAAAGCGAAGCTTATTTAAACATTTAATGCTTATGTGTTAACCTTAACGATAAGCTTCTCAAAATAAGTGTTACCACAGATTAATTTATTTTATAGATGAAAGAAAATTAAACACGGAAGTATAAGTCTTTTCTTTCCAAAGTTTTTCAAAAAATGTTTTCTTTATTAATCGTTCAACGCATAATTCACTTCCTATTTAGACTCATGCTTTCATTGTTCTTCTACCAAAAAAGTGAAAAATTTAGGGCGTACCCCAAAAACAGTTTAACCCCAAGGTCGAGTGACTAAAGTAAGCGGATGCGCATATTTGGTCTTCTCTTCAGGAAAACAAGCGCTTTTCATCATATATTTTTTCTTCTTATAGAAGCTATACCCCTTTATAAAGAATTTGCGTTAAAATTTTTCGATGAAATGTATATTTTGAAAGAAATAAAAAGATTTTTAACATTCTTTCCCAAAATCCAGCATTAGACTTTTTTTGCTTAGCCTTTTTTTTTTTTTTTTTTTTTTTTTTTTTTTTTTTTTTTTTTTTCTTAGTCTTTTCCTTTTCTGCAATAATTATTGTTGAATGTTGAGTTAAGTTCTTCAAGCATTACCCAGGAAACTTATCTATTTAATCATATTAAAGTTGTGTTATTCTTATGAGTGTTGTCAAAATTGAATATCTATATTGAAGTGATTACCTTTAAAGAAAAGTAATGAATTACATTTTTTTTCTTCGGCTGTTAATTAAGTTTCAGTTATCAAAAGATTTTATTCGCGCGCAGGTCGTCGGGCTACCGAAGCGGGGGTGCCATCCCCTCCGCAGAGGATCAAAATTGTGATGGCATATCTTCGGATCATCCTCCGGGATGTTTCCCAGACCGTCGCCAATAGCCCATTGTGCAGCTCTAGTGCGACGTAAAATTAACAACAACAATAACAACAACAAAAGATTTTGAAATAGAGGTTATAAGGCTCATTCACCGAGCCAAGTTTCACCGCTTCAAGTAAAATTTAAAAAATTCGGGAGATTTATCTAGAATTGAACCTTCAATTATACAATTTATAAAAACTTTAAAAAAAAATTTAAAAAAATAGAAAACTTCCAAATATTATTTTTATTGAATTGTTTGAAATAACATCGCAAATTTGGAATATATATATATATCCCTTTTACCTATTTTACCATCTCTTTTCAAATATGTAAATATTAAGAATCAAAAATATGCATGTTCAAAATATTAACTAGACGAAGGAAAATAATGTGAATAATTTTTTTTTCAGGTGGATCATGCTGGTTGCCTTAATTTCACTTCTCATTTGTCAAGTTGTATGTATTGTTTTGTAATTTGAGTTCATATAATTACTTATCTGCTTAACACTTAATTTCATATCCCAATGTAAATGTATTTTAAAAAATTATTTTTTTAAGTTTTTTTTTTACTTGAAAATAAATATCAATATGTATAATGTTTTTAAAATTTCATCAGAAATCGGAAACATTTTGTGAAGTGTCTGCAATTTTTTATAATAAAAAAAATTTGAGGAGATAAAAAACTAAAGTGAAATACTTATCATCTTCAACTTGATAAGATATTCCAAAAGTTAAATCTTTAAAATTATTTTCCTATTCAAAAGTTTTTAAGAACACTATTTCATGCATTAAAATTACACGCATTTTTTTATATTTTACTGAACAAAATAATAATTTTTGATCTCTTTTTAAATATTTATTAAGGAAAAATTTAAATATTGGGCACTGAAACACCTATTCTTCCTAATTGTTATTTTAACAATTGTTATTTATTAAAATAACAATTTACTCATAAATAATGGAAAAAAATTATTATCTTTTCAAAGTGATAATCCTTTTAACAGTATGGTAGAAAGTTTATAAATATTTAAGTATTAGTTAATGAATTATTTATATTATAGAATTCTAATCTCCATTTCCTTCATGGGTGCACATACTAATGCTACACTGCACTAAAATTGCATGAACGTGTATTTATAACAGTCGATTTACACAAAGGAACATTTTTTTTCAGTTGAAATAGATTTTTTAACGAATCTTAGATATTTCCAAGGGACTGATTTCAAATCTGCATTCAGTTTCTCTCTCCAAGCTAAGGTTTTTTTTTCTTTAAATGACATTTTTGGTCTATTTTTTGTCAAAATTTGTATGTTTAAAAACGTTCTTTAAAAAATGGTCGCATAAATGTTGTGATAAATTTCTATGGAAGTTCGGTCACATCATCAGGATTAAAATTGCATAAGAACCCGTGCTTGGAAATGTCGTCATTCGTCACTAGGAGTGTTTTCCTAGGGGTGCTTCTTAACTGTTTCTTCGTGTGCTTCTCAATGAGTCGTACTATGGCAGCGCTCCTAGCCGTGCACGGTGACATTTCCGAGCATAGGTTCTTATGCAATTTTAATCCTGATAATATGTCCTAACTCCCGTACGCAGACTATGGAAGCGCTCCCAGCCGTACACGACGACATTTCCGAGCATAGGTTCCCATGCAATTTCAATCCTGATAATGTGTCCTTACTACCGTATACAGACTATGGAAGCGCTCCTAGCCGTACACGGCGACATTTCCGAGCATAGGTTCCTATGCAATTTTAATCCTGATAATGTGTCCTAACTGCCGTATACAGACTATGGAAGCGCTCCTAGCCGTACACGGTGACATTTCCAAGCATGGGCTCCTATGCAGTTTTAAACCTGAGAATGTGTCTTACGTCCAGAAGAAGTTTGTCGCATCATTTATGCGACTACTTGTTATATAAATCATTTTTAAACTTGAACATTTCGAAAAAATAGACTAAAATTATCATTTAAGAAATCCATAACTTTAGGATCAAAACTAATTAAAGATTCGAAATCAACACGCTCGAATTATCCAAGATCAAGTACTTATATAAATGCACTGGAGAGCAAAAAATTTGTTCTCTAGTGCTAGCTATAGAATGAACCTTAGATAAAAAATAAAAATAAGGTATAGTTTTGTTCATCAAAAGTAAAACTATTTTCATTTTAATTAAAATAAAGTCTTTTATAAATTAAAAATAAGTTTTTTTACTTGATTTCGTCTACCTTTTCAACATATATTTAATTCAATTGATTTGTCATCGATTAAAAATAAGTTCAATATTAAAAGGCGTAGAAGTTATAATAGTTTTTTTTTTCAAAATTGAAATATAAAAAACAAACTCACACTCAACATTCTAAGTAAAAACAGAAATACAGTTATAATATTTTTTTCACAAAGTTAAAACTGGTCTTGCTTTAGATAAATGGAATAAAAAAATAATATTTTTTTATAAATTTAAGTTTATTGTCAAAGCATGTTTTTATATTTTATAATGAGCATATGCTTAGAAGTTTTAAACTCCTAATAATCAAATCATAACAACTTAAGCTGTCACTAAAATAATATATTTTCCAAAAAAATATGTCAACAAATTGAAAAATATCCTAGAATTTCCTAGAATGGGTCGAAGGTTTCCTTTCTGTAGAGGAGACAGTAAAAGGGTATATTTTAATTTTTTTAAAAGCATGAAAGTAAAATAAAGTTTGATTTTCAAATCTTGTAAAGTTTAAAATGCTAAGTAACATTTAAAAAAAATTATAAAATGTAAGACTTTGATGAAAACTTTCAAATTCCCAGAATTTAAGTAATTACCTAGCCTAATGATTCCATTTAAAATTTAAAATATGTTCATTTGCTTATGAAAATTAGGATTTCAATGAATATTCTTGAAAATCTAGATGTTATATATCATTTATAATTTTTTTTATTGTTACTTAAAAACTAAAATTTATTTTATACTTATAATTTAAAAATAATTATATTTCTAGGCACAAAAATCTAACCTTAACATTCATTCTAGAAGACTTAAATGTGTTTCTATTTTTGATAAATATGTGACTAATAAAGGACTTGAAAAACCTCAAAACTTTTGCCGGGCTCGTTAGGCCGCAAAATACTTACCTGAATAAAACTTATACGTGTCCGAACACGTGTCTCAAAATGATACAATGCAATTTAAAGAAGTCGTTTAGTTAAAATTCGATTCCTCAGGAACTATTCAACCAATTTCACTCACATTTTGTTTTTGCTGTGTAAAATTACACACTTTAAAATGACGTAAAAGATTATGTACCTTGCAATTCAAACTTTTTTTGATTATTATTAAATAAAATTGTAAATATTTACTAAAACTTATTTTTTGCATGGAATTATCTTCAGATAAACGAATTTTATAATTGAGTGCAAAAACTTTTCAATTCGCTTAAAAGTCTCTTGAGAACGCAAAAGGGGTATTAAGGTGTCCAAACTTCGTACTGCTCCCCTGGCCAAACTATGGAGACCATATTTCCCAGATTACAGCTACTCTCTATATTTTAGGGAGGAGAAATCCGAATCTGTTGAAACAAAATATGTTTATTCAGAGAAAGTACATTTTTGCGTCTGATTTCTTAACATAAAATATCGTTCGCAGTAATTAATTAGGATATTTCAGGTCACCCTCTTAAACCATTAAGAATGAATACTAGAACGAAAAAATCCGATCATTAGATCAAAAGTTATTCAGATTGGTACGTTTTTTTTGTTTTTTTTGGCGCACTGTACAATGATTGTTATGAACTATTTTTACATAAAAAGAAGTGTAGCTAAAAGAATAAGAAAGAAAAAACTAATTTTGTTTTACAAATCTATAACATAATTATTGTTGAATTTAATTATTTGTATTATTAAATCCATTAATATTTAGGTTTCGTCAAATATAGATTCTTTTGTTCCCTCTTTGATGTCTCTTATTCTCTCTATTCGGCATCATAGAAATTTGCGTCAAATCTTTAGGGACATTTAAACGGTAATTTATGATATCTCTGTATGAATATTTACATATCCTGCCGCGCATGTAAGGTTGAAAAATACATACACAATTAAAATGTATGCGATACGATAATTCTTTTTCCGGGTATCTCGGAAAATATAACATTCTAGCTGTTCGAATATTTACATGACCGGCCATATTGACAGCTTTTTCTCGGCTTCTGAATTTCGAAAAAAGAATTTTTGTGCTACACCCTTATACATGCATATTTATTTTAGCCCACTGAAAATGCATAATCATTCTTGCATATAACTGTCAAATATCTAAAACCACTTCAAACGAAAGGACGAAGAAATTATAATTCTTTCAAAACCGAAACCATATGATCACTTTCTTTTTCCTGTGTTAGCCCACCCAAATGAGTAATAATTTTTATGTAGGCAGCTTATGTGGGTTCAGGTATTTGGCCAGTTTGGGTCGAGAAAGTTTGTTGAAGAGAGTTCATGTGAATGAAAGTATTTTTTTTTTTCTTCTTATAACTGAATCCTGTTGTTTATGTTTCTTTAAGCCCACCTCTGTTTGCCTACGCATGCTATTTACCTCAGGAATTAAAGAGCAATGACTAATGACAGGCGGAAGGGCATGCAAATAAGTCAATTTTGCGTCCGCTGCACCTGTCAACTCGTCTTCATTTTGTTATCAAATCCAAACTACAAAATTCCATCTTTCTCAAGGCAAAGCAAACTGTATGTTTTAATTGTTAGATTGAGGAAAAGTAATATACAAAGAACTGCAAATACGCCATCGTTACAGAGGTTATCCAACTATTTGTTTTGCAAGGCATAAGGTACCCCAAACCTAACACGGAATAACTCTATACATACTGAAACTAAAGTTTTCCTTCACTGTTAGAATTTTTATTCAAAAATTACGGTGAAGTAACCGGCAGCAGTCTCTCCATCCAATTAACCGTAAAGTTAACGGTAGAAAACATTTTTTAACCATTTAAAAAACGGAAAGTATGTATGATGTATGAAGTATGAAAAGAAGTGTGGTTAAAAAAAAACAGGAATGCAAAACTATGCGGTTTTTTTAACCATTTACAACTATCATGGTTTCAAAACCATGATAAAGTACATGAGTAAGACGTGACGACGTGAGAATACGTGAGTAAGAGTATCGTATTCTAATCGTGGAGGGTCACAAATTGGGGCGTGCAGGTTACTGGAAACTTTTCATGTGTTGATAGGAATAGAGGAAATAGTGTAGTGTCAGCGCTGAAACTTAAACACTTGTTCTGTCAGTAATGAAATTGACAGATTAGACCTCTGGGCTATTATATTTAACCAGTTGCAGGGAATTACGGGACTTTATTAGGTGGGTCTAGTGGGTGTGATAAAATTTTGGTTGTTTAACGCTATTAGATTAAAGCATTTAATAAACTGTTTTTCCTTCAGTTAACTGTTTGAATGCCATCTTATT